AATAAATATTCTTGACAAATTATGAATGGAGTGAAAATAAATTTATATCTATTGGTTTATATTTACATTTGCTTTCTTTTCTTTTCTTTTTTTATTTTTCGCAATCATGGAAATTGATTTAAAACTTCTTTCTAGTATTTTCACACTTAAAATTATACCCGGAAAATAATACTATAAAGTAACGTCACATGAGAGTATGGAGACTTAAATGAAAATTCAACGACATTTTTGCTTCAGATATTCATTATTTTCTCATAATTAAATTCTGTTTTTATCCTAGCCTTTCATCGGTTGATTTACGAAAAGGAACGCAAATTATGCTGTATAATCCGATTTGGTATTTGAACACCCCCATTGACAACAGGCTGAATCATTTGTCTCCATGCAATCCCCTCATTTCCAGTCCTGGGGATCATAGAAATTTCCAGATTTAATAAATGTACCCTTAACCCTGTACCCTTTTTCAATGCCAATTTTTTCCTGTACCAATTGCCTGCAGTTTGAATAAAACCTTAAGGAGTGGATTTCATCTTTTCAAAGAAGTAGTAACTGACCACTGGCATCCCAGTGTTACCAATTTAACACCACCAGCAAAAGTTGGTCTTGTAGAACTAGATGAAGTTTATTTATGACAAATCGTATGAGTGTGTCAGGGATGGGAGTGAAAAGATGTTTGATAAGAAGTAACTGACCCTTTGAATTTACAAGTGGGCTCTCAGATAATATACTTTCAGAATGGCAGATTTAAACCTATAATATATACCGGTATAGAACCATTATTTCCGAATATTTACAATCAACACACCCGACTTTAATAGCACATGTCTAGTTGCAACGTGTGTATGTCATGGTCCAAAGAGCTATTTATGTATTAAAAAGAGATGAATCCTCCTGAATAGACAAATTGTATATCTCTCTTTAAAACATAATTTGTGCAAACATCTAATTTGTCCGAACAAATATCTAATCCGTCCGAACAAATAACTAATTTGCCCGAACGAATTTCTTATTCGTCCGAACAAATAACTAATTCGTCCGAACAAATATCTAATTTGTCCGAACAAATATCTAATTTGTCCGAACAAATATCTAATTCGTCCAAACAAATAACTAATTCGTCCAAGTGAATTTCTAATTTGTCCGAACGAATATCTAATTCGTCCGAACAAATAACTAATTCGTCCAAGTGAATATCTAATTTGTCCGAACAAATTTCTAATTCGTCCGAACAAATAACTAATTCGTCCGAACGAATTTCTAATTCGTCCGAACAAATAACTAATTCGTCCGAACGAATTTCTAATTCGTCCGAACGAATTTCTAATTCATTTGAACGAATATCTAATTCGTCCGAACAAATAACTAATTCGTCCAAACGAATTTCTTATTTGTCCGAACGAATATCTAATTCGTCCGAACGAATTTCTAATTTGTCCGAACGAATATCTAATTCGTCCGAACAAATAATTAATTCGTTCGAACGAATTTCCAATTTGTCCGAACAAATAATTTTTTTTTTACCTGACCCTCCAGCGGCGCCGTACTTTTTCCCTGAATGACTGGAATACCTTTTCTTATCTCGATCTCTACATTTTGCAATTTTGCATGTCCCTTTAATTGCAGTCTTCCTGTCCAAAATATCAGTATTTAAGAATAAGAAATGATTTAAACCTTGGAAATTAAAAAAGTAAATAAATATTCTTGACAAATTATGAATGGAGTGAAAATAAATTTATATCTATTGGTTTATATTTACATTTGCTTTCTTTTCTTTTCTTTTTTTATTTTTCGCAATCATGGAAATTGATTTAAAACTTCTTTCTAGTATTTTCACACTTAAAATTATACCCGGAAAATAATACTATAAAGTAACGTCACATAAGAGTATGGAGACTTAAATGAAAATTCAACGACATTTTTGCTTCAGATATTCATTATTTTCTCATAATTAAATTCTGTTTTTATCCTAGCCTTTCATCGGTTGATTTACGAAAAGGAACGCAAATTATGCTGTATAATCCGATTTGGTATTTGAACACCCCCATTGACAACAGGCTGAATCATTTGTCTCCATGCAATCCCCTCATTTCCAGTCCTGGGGATCATAGAAATTTCCAGATTTAATAAATGTACCCTTAACCCTGTACCCTTTTTCAATGCCAATTTTTTCCTGTACCAATTGCCTGCAGTTTGAATAAAACCTTAAGGAGTGGATTTCATCTTTTCAAAGAAGTAGTAACTGACCACTGGCATCCCAGTGTTACCAATTTAACACCACCAGCAAAAGTTGGTCTTGTAGAACTAGATGAAGTTTATTTATGACAAATCGTATGAGTGTGTCAGGGATGGGAGTGAAAAGATGTTTGATAAGAAGTAACTGACCCTTTGAATTTACAAGTGGGCTCTCAGATAATATACTTTCAGAATGGCAGATTTAAACCTATAATATATACCGGTATAGAACCATTATTTCCGAATATTTACAATCAACACACCCGACTTTAATAGCACATGTCTAGTTGCAACGTGTGTATGTCATGGTCCAAAGAGCTATTTATGTATTAAAAAGAGATGAATCCTCCTGAATAGACAAATTGTATATCTCTCTTTAAAACATAATTTGTGCAAACATCTACTTTGTCCGAACAAATATCTAATCCGTCCGAACAAATAACTAATTTGCCCGAACGAATTTCTTATTCGTCCGAACAAATAACTAATTCTTCCGAACGAATTTCTAATTTGTCCGAACAAATATCTAATTTGTCCGAACAAATATCTAATTCGTCCAAACAAATAACTAATTCGTCCGATCGAATTTCTAATTTGTCCGAACGAATATCTAATTCGTCCGAACAAATAACTAATTCGTCCAAGTGAATATCTAATTCGTCCGAACAAATTTCTAATTCGTCCGAACAAATAACTAATTTGTCCGAACGAATTTCTAATTCGTCCGAACAAATAACTAGTTCGTCCGAACGAATTTCTAATTCGTTCGAACGAATATCTAATTCGTCCAAACAAATAACTAATTCGTCCAAACGAATTTCTTATTTGTCTGAACGAATATCTAATTCGTCCGAACGAATTTCTAATTTGTCCGAACGAATATCTAATTCGTCCGAACAAATAATTAATTTGTTCGAACGAATTTCTAATTTGTCCGAACAAATAATTTTTTTTTTACCTGACCCTCCAGCGGCGCCGTACTTTTTCCCTGAATGACTGGAATACCTTTTCTTATCTCGATCTCTACATTTTGCAATTTTGCATGTCCCTTTAATTGCAGTCTTCCTGTCCAAAATATCAGTATTTAAGAATAAGAAATGATTCAAACCTTGGAAATTAAAAAAGTAAATAAATATTCTAGACAAATTATGAATGGAGTGAAAATAAATTTATATCTATTGGTTTATATTTACATTTGCTTTCTTTTCTTTTTTTTTTTTATTTTTCGCAATCATGGAAATTGATTTAAAACTTCTTTCTAGTATTTTCACACTTAAAATTATACCCGGAAAGTAATACTATAAAGTAACGTCACATTAGGGTATGGAGACTTAAATGAAAATTCAACGACATTTTTGCTTCAGATATTCATTATTTTCTCATAATTAAATTCTGTTTTTATCCTAGCCTTTCATCGGTTGATTTACGAAAAGGAACGCAAATTATTCTGTATAATCCGATTTGGTATTTGAACACCCCCATTGACAACAGGCTGAATCATTTGTCTCCATGCAATCCCCTCATTTCCAGTCCTGGGGATCATAGAAATTTCCATATTTAATAAATGTACCCTTAACTTCAAACAGTATCTCGATCTTACCTCATTTAAAGAAACATCATGGCCGGTAGGTCTATGAATTTGTTATTTCCTCCCCTCGCTTTGCATCACTTTCGTTAACAAGGTTGTCTTATTGAGAGGCAAATTTGAATTCATAAAAAGCAACACCTAAAGTTGCTTAATTACTAGTATTTTAAAATTAAATTATAAGGATGACTTTCATTCTTTGCCAAATTATTCGAGTATAACCTGGTTTGGGTCAGTTCATGCTTTTTTATAATCTGCTTCGCGGATTATAAAGCGTAAATTGGCCCAAACCAGGATACATCGAATAATTTGGCCAAGAAATGAAGACGCTCCTAAAAGATATTTATGAAAACCCATATTATTTAATTTTTTTTTTCTTTTTGCAAATCATTTTAATGTGTTTTTGTGTAAAGTATCGTGAACAACAAGAGAATTATTATTACTATGAGATTTTTAATAAAAAATATTATTAGCAAGGAAAACTATCGCTATTTCTTTTCTTACAAGCAAATGTCATAAAGGAATAACCTGACATAATTAGGGACTTTATTTTTCGATTATGAATTTGACAGGTATTACGTATGATTTTCATATTATTATTTTCATACACACTTCATACATCTTATTTTAAATTATGATAAATTATTGCTCTTACATCTACCTACCTTTGAGTGATAATTTCTTGTAGCAAGATCCAAAGTACTTTTTAAGTAAAGCTTCATACTTACTTGAAATTATTTTTCAATTAAAACTAATACTTTATTTACTCCTTGATGTAAAAGAATGGTGGAAAATTTCTTTAGAATGGAAATTTGGACGATAGGTCATAAGTCCATAAAACAAAGGTATAATTTGGAATCATGTACTAATTTGTTAACAGTAAATAATTTTGGTTTATATTTAAAAAAAGAAGGTAAAGAGAGTTCTTTCATTTATATAAGTATTTCATTGAATCTTGGCCACATTGAAGTAGATTCTCAGAAAATGGTACTTTATAGCACGTTCATTATCGAATCAAAGTGTGCCTTAACAATTTTATATGACGTTAAATTTTGAAAAAGAAGCATGTTGTTTGAAAAAAATCATCAAGTGTATGTCAAGTGTAACATTTTAATTGACACCAATCTTGAAGTAAACTCCTATATAAACCGTTCTCCCCAATCACAACTCACAGACAGCCAAGATGCATTTCCTTACCACTGTAAGTTGTTAGAAAGACATATTTTACATTCACAGATTAAATTTATATTTTTTATCTTGTGATAAATATGAACGTGACATTTTTTTTTTTAGAGTTTATGTTAATATACTATTTAAAACTTATTTCATTTTAAGATACTACATGTATTTAAAACTACATGTACTTTATTTCTAGGTTTTCATACTGGCGTGCACCCTATATCTTAATATTTCCGGCTTCTACACGTTCTATGCTTGCTGCATTGGATGCGGCGAAGAATGCCCATATCGGGGTTTGTAATTAAAAATATAAATAATTAATTGAATGATATTCTAAAATTAAAGTATTTATCAGGGTAGGTATGTTCATGTGGGACGTGCAGATGTGGAAGTCGTTTTTGTTCTTCAAGGGAAGCTTTAATTGCATCTAAATGAGATACGGCACGAGGTTTTCAATTGCGTATCAAAGTTCAATATTGTGATTTTTTATGGTCGATAAAATTGTCAAATATTTATCATTTGCCAAACTCTTCCTCTAAGAGTCAAGAGCATTACACTGGGAAAAAAAGCCGTATCTTCCAATCTCTGTTGAAATTAGGTCAGGAAATTATTAGAGAAATGATGATTCGGATGTCCGTGCTAGCTTTGCTCCTATTTGTATTGTTTTATTGACTTTGATGTTGAATACTGTTCGTTGTCTCCATATTCTTCTTCAACTGCTTGAATATCATCAAAAACGTGCAATTTTATATCAATGCTTAATTATCAACGCCCTGATTATTAAAGGCGAAATTTGAATGTGTTATGATGGTATATATTTTTTTAAAAGTGAAAATTGAAAAAAATTGTTTTGATTGAATATAAGAAACTACAGCTCTTAATTTGCATTTGATTAATTATACGTCATTAGATGAAAATTATTTAAGAATATCAAAAACGATATTAGTTAAAATTTTCGAAATTAAATTAATTTGAAAGAAATATTCAAAAACATTTCAGAATAGAAACGAAATACTAGAAAAACTATATTTTTATTGAAATAAAAAACCTGGTATTGAAATTTTAGGAAAAAAGTGACAACTTCCTAATTCAAACCTTTCTCGATTAAAATTATCCAGATCTCAACTTCCAATGTTCAAAGTGAAATTGTTTTTTTTTTCTTTTACCAATTTTAAAAAAATTAAAATGTTATAGTTGTGATACGGTTTTTAAAACAATGGAACATAATCTGACTTTTCCAAGCCTACTGTATCAGATGGAAGGTAATTTATTCATATTCTATTTTACATAAATTTAATTGAGATTGGATAAAATTCAGCAGGGAATGATACAAAATTGACAAGGTCTAATTGTAACGGGGGCCGTTACAGATGTTCCGTAACTGCTCCCCAACTCCCTTTTGGTGCCATATTCCATGGAAGCTTTATCAAAACAGACAAACTCTACGCATTTCAATCTTTAACAACGTTTTTTCAGAAGAATACCAAGTAAATTTAATTTTAGCATTACATTCGTGCGCATGTGAATGCATGTGAGTAATAAACATATCATCTTGTCTACAATATCAGTGTATTTAAACATACAAAATATTAAAGCATTTAACCCAAAAGTTTTAAAAATACGCTCATTAAAGTGTCATTTTAATTTTACTTATTTCACATGCACAGACGTGCATACATGTGCATGATGATCATACCTTCTTAAGCTTGTAGGAGTTCATTATGTTTAAGTTCTAAATCCCATCCTGATTGGTTGAAAAGCAAGGGAGTTATAGCCATTTAATGTTTTAGCCAATCAGATTGCAGCACACGTGCATGCACGTGTTTTCATGATATGGCTATATATCATGTTATAGGATATCCTAATGCATGACTATGTTTTAAATTTCAAAGTTTTTCGTAAAAAAAAAAACAAACAAAAAAAGATAATGAGGTTTTTGTTTCAACCAATCAGCACGAAGCTCACGTGCATGCGCTTGAGTTTAAGCTAATTTTACAGTGTCTTATTATCTACAGTATGAATTCATTTTTATTTAATAAGTTTCAAAGCATTTCATCAAAAATTGTAAAAGTTATAGGAATATTAAGTATATTAGTCATTTCACTCAAATTACGTGCATGCTTATGCGTGCAAAATGACCTTCGTTCCGCACACCTCAGTACACATCTATTAACCCTAAAAAGGTTTTAACTCAGTTAGGTGAACAGTTTCTGAGAACACTCGCGAAAAAAAAAGTTCCGGAGAAGAAATAAGAAGAAAAAAAGAATAACTAGAAAGTTTGCTATTGCAAGCAATAGCGTATGTCGCCCCAAACTGGACAAGACTTTCATTTTTTATCACTACAAAATACCCATTAGCTAAGCTTGGACAACTATCAACTCGTATCAGCACTTTCAGTACTTCGATTTAAAAATTAAAGTTAAAGAATTTTCACTTTTCCTCTGTTTCCATGCAAACTAATGACAATTTGCAATTTTCAAATCCAGTGAGCACAATTACAGATACTAATTATTGCATAAATAAAATTTAATGAAGAATGTTCAAGGAACCAGAGAAAACTTTCGCGGACAAAATTCGTCGCTGTTTGGAAGTTTCCATGGCAATGGTAGCCATTTGAAACTGAATAACCACACCCCAACACAACTACAACCAGTGATCTGCCTTTGAGGAATGTTTCAGGAAGATTGGCCCAGCCATCTCCGAGAAACAGTCCGTAGAACAAAAAAGATGCGCACAATCGCAATATGTCGCCCGACTTCGTTCGGGGCGACATAATAACTAGAAAGTCTGCTATTGCAAGGAACTGTGATCTTCCTTTGAGAAAAGTTTCAGGAAGATTTTCCCAGCCATCTCCGAGAAACAGTCTGTAGAACAAAAAGATGCGTACAATCGCAATATGTCGTCCGACTCGTTCGGGGCGACATAATAACTAGGAAGTCTGCTATTGCAAGCAATAGTGTATGTCGCCCCGAACTAGACAAGACTTTCATTTTTTCATCACTAAAACAATACCCATAAGTTAAGCTTGGACAAACATCAACTCGTATCAGTACTTTCAGTACTTTGATTTAAAAATCAAAGTTAAAGAATTTTCACTTTTCCCATGTTTCCATGCAAACTATTGACAATTTGAAATTTTTAAATCCAATGAACACAATTACATATACTAATCATTACATAAATAAAATTTAATGAAGAATGTTCAAGGGACCAGAGAGAACACTCGCGGACAAAATTCGTCGCTTTTTTCAAGTCTCCATGGCAACGGTATCCATTTTAAACTGAATGAACACACAACACAACTACAACCAGTGCTCGTCCTCTGAGGAAAGTTTCAGGAATATTGTCCCAGCCATCTCCGAGAAACAGCCTGGATAACAAAAAGATGCGTACAATCGCAATTTGTCGTCCGACTTCGTTCGGGGCGACATAATAATAAGATTGATTGATTGTATACTGTTTAACGTCCCTCTCCAGAATATTCCACTGATATAGAGACGTCACCATTGCCGGTGAAGGGCTGCAAATTTAGGCCTATGCTCGGCACTTACGGCCTTTGAGCAGGGAGGGATCTTTATCATGCCACACCTGCTGTGACGCGGGGCCTCGGTTTATACGGTTTATCCGAAGGACCGCCCCATTTAGTCGCCTATTACGACAAGCAAGGGGGTACTGTGATCCTATTCTTACCCGGATCCCCACGGGACCATAATAATAAGAAGAAACAGAGTAAAATCAATATGTTCCCCAACATCGTTTGGGGAACATAATAAGAATAATAACTAGAGCAAAGCTCGTTGCAAAGCAACGAGTAGGTCTCCGTCCTGTTTAACCGGAAATATCTTTCATTTTTAACAAAAATGAGAAATAACGCTCCAAAATGGTTCGAATCTTAAAAAGCTATGTTAATTAATGCAAAAATAAGCCATTTTTGCTACTTCCGGTTTGACCAGAAGTGAAGACGACGGACGGAAAATTAATTTTTATGCGCCGAGAGACATATGTTACCCCAAAACTTGTCAAGAACGGCAAAAATACGCGTTTTTCGACTAATTCCGGTTTGGCCGAAAGTGACGACGCTGTACGTATTTTGTCGACTCCAATAGATTTAGCTTGTCATTTTGAACAACTTTGCTTCTTTGATGTATTACAAATTCTCAATACGTTTTGCGATATAAGGAAAAAAATTTCGGCCCCTCTAGGCCCTTAATTTTAGGTACCAGCCCTTTTTACAAGATATCATTTGAAAGATATTGGAATTGTACACTTCTTTTGTTCTATAAGTTTTCACAAAATATTTCTAGGTAAAAAGGTATCGTAGTAAAGGTGTTAGAAATTTTGAAACTCACGATAGAATTTTTTTTCGGGCCATAGCGAGCGTCGGCGCTTCGTACTTCCGGTAGTTGTGATATACGAAATTCACTTCTCCAAAAGTTGCTATAGCATCACTGAAAATTTCATGCTTCTGTGTTTAGTGCTTTTTGAGAAAACTGCCGGACAAAGTGACCCTCTGAAAATCACTAAAACGCAGAAATCTCAAAACCGGAAGTGACGTCATCACAACAAAAAATATATATCTAGTTTTTTCCATGCTCTATCAGTCCTGAAAGTTTCGTGAAAATAGATCAAGCCGTTTTCGAGAACTTGCGTGCACAAAATCGGTAAAAAAAACTATAATAATAATTAGAGCAAAGCTCGTTGCAAAGCAACGAGTGGGTCTTCCGTCCTGTTTGACCGGAAGTTACTTTTATTTTTTACAAAAAAGAGTAATAATGCCGAAAAATGGTTTAAATCCTTTAAATCTATGTTAATTAATGCAGAAATAAGCCAGTTTTTGCTACTTCCGGTTTGACCGGAAGTGATGACGACGGACGGAAAATTAATTTTTAGTCTCCCAGTGACAGATGATACCCAAAATCTTGTCAAGAACAGCAAAAATATCCGTTTTCCGACTACTCCAATAGATGAAGATTGACATTTTAAACAACTTTGCTTCTTTGACGTATTACAAATTCTCAATAC